AAAATTTATTAAACTTATTAAATTTCTAATTTAATTTAATTTTGATTTAACTATCAAAGTCATTTGAATTTTTAAATCATTCTGTCACTTTTATATTAATTGTTATTGGTAGATTTACTCCAATAATGGTAAACATAAAATATTTCGTTTAAGATTATAAATCTAGTTCATCGATTAAAAATAATATTTTTTATACTTTTATTATTAATTAACAGTTTAGTACTTACTGGATCACTATTTAAATCCTTTAGAATTAAACCTGTTATATTAGCATCATATAAATAACTTTTTAAATCGGATACTTTGGTTGCAGTATCTTTTGCATTTTTAGCCGCGTTTATCCAAGATTCTGGATCATCGTAACCAATATATAAATACAATGGCTTAAGGGATTCAGAAAGACCAAGTACTCTAACTGTAAATTAAAAAAATATAATTTTAATATATTATGATGAAAATGAATATAGCATCTATGATAAATGTCATTCATTCATTGATATAATTTTATGGATTATAATATTTTTTTACTAAAAGTATCTTTATCCTTTGTATATTATAAAATAAATTTACTTAAAACATTTTTTAAGCATTAAATAGTTGATGAATGTATTTATCGTAAATAAGTTCATCAATAAAACATTGATTTTGATCACAATCTCAATTCTCATACTGATAGTACCTAAAGATATTAGTAACAAAATGAAAATTGTTTTTAATTTAAGGTTAAAAAAAATTAATTTTATATGTTTAATGAACAAAAGTTGATAAATATAAAAATATATATATATATAGAAATAAATTCAATAAAATAAATACGCAAAGTATAAAGAAAAATTAAAAATGTTTTTGTGTCAAATAAAATGTATTAAAACATCTTAGAAAACTGAGATAAAAAAGAACAGTTTTGATAAATTTTCAACTACAAAATAGTTTTTCTTTTATGCAATTTTAACGAATTTCATTACATTTTTAACTTCAAAAGCTTATAAAAAAGTGCATTTATTAATTAATATTTTTATGCAAGAATAACTTTTGTATAATTCAGGTCTAAATTTTCATGAATACTGACCAAGCGAATAATTTTCATAGACATTTTTAAATAGAAAAAATTTAAATAAAATTAATTTATTAAAAAACATCAATAGAGTTAATATATTTGAAAGTTGTAATGTACTATGATAATGTGAATATAAATATTTGGTATACATGTTCTATGATTTGCTTTTTTTTTTAAATATTATAAGATAATCAATATTTGTGTAAATTTTGTAATTTTTCTTTAATTTTTTTTGTTCCTTCTTTCAATAAAATTGAATTTAAATTTTATATTTTTTAAAACACAGCCTAAATCTTATTTTATATAAACACAACCCAATTTTAAAGAAGCTATGAAATTTATCGTATAATTATCCTCGAAAAATAAAACAGACATTATAATATAATCAATATAACATTGGTCTGCATAGAATCTAAAAAATGCAATTACTATTTTATTTATATAAATATGTCTGTTTTTAATTTATAAGCACGGCTAATAGTCATTTTTTGAATGATAGTTTTAACTTACGCATTTCGAAACTTGATCCACTTTCATTCAAGTAATTTACATAATGTGATATATCAAAAACAAAAGAAGTACACTCAGGTGGTAATGAAGTAATAGCCATGAAACTACTAGAACAAGTATATCCGCCTTCATCATAGCTGCCTGAATACATACATGGTGATATTCCAAGTTCTGAAAAGTGAAAATAATAATTTCTTATTACGTCATATGCGACTATAGGTATATTAATTGTAGTATAAATGGAGTAAAATTCACTATAAAGCTCATTAAAATAAGATTCATTTAAACTCAATTATCTTAAATATATAAAACTACAATTATTTTTAAAAATATTTGAACGAAGAATAAACATTTAAATTCTATTATTGTAATTTAATAATATACTATGGTGGGTAAATATGATATGCATCATAAAAATACAAAATTAATTGCAATATTATCTAAAAAGTAATGTTATAAATATAATATACTGTTAGGATGACACGGATGAGAAGTCTATGTCTAGTTTGATCGATTCGCAAACACCAAAAATATGTCGAAATTAAAAACGGTTGCGATCTAAGTACAAATATTGTGGAAAAACACACGAAAACATTACCGTACAAGTACACAACAGTATACCCTCTACTCAAAAACCAAATCTAAACACCAAAAAGACCAGCCTCAACCACCTCTAGCACATCCCCTTCTATAAAACCAACAAATATAAAAAACCATACAAAACTATACCAAACATAAAATTAAACTTCGACCAACTAAAATTTATCATTGAAAACACAATAGGTGTATCCAAACATATGAGTATCATACACCCCTTCAACATATCTACCATGGATATGACTAAAATCATTGACACTATTCGCCCTAAAATCAAGAATGTAAGTTTCAAAAACAGGATTACAAAATTAAATCAAATAATATTAGACCATATCATATCTATATTAGCACCATTCCACCACAAACTATCACGTAAAAATAGAATCAGAAATACTGGAAACATCAGGAACATTAACAAATATTGCATGGAATAATGGGACTCAGATTGGCGTCAAATCACTAACAATAAACTAAGAGAAATAAAACACTCAGTAGAACTCTGACCAAAACTCAATTATTCGAACCGAAATGGAAAAGACCAATTCTCCGATATGCTGTTCTTTCAATTCCTTAATTACAGTTAACACATCATCATCCACTGTCAAATGTATACGGAAGTCAAAAAGAATACAAAATCCCAGACAATCTATACGAAGCTATAGGACTCTACGCCGCTATACATAACTTAATCGGTCTTTTAAAAAAAAACTGCTGAAACAATAAAAAAAAAAAAAAAACAAATTGGTACCTCAATGGTTAACTTTTGCATAGAGGATTGGCTTCACATCACGGATAGAGAACAAGTTTGTGGCCTGCAGGCCGTGTAGACTTAATAGTAGAGCATCATTAATAAGTTTTAGTGTATGAAGAAAATGTAAATGTGTATAAACATTTAGAACTACTATGAATAACTGAGATTATAAATAGAAACCAGTTTTCTTATGGTATCCAATGTATTGTTACATGTTACATGAACACTAAAGGTCAGTGTGACACAATCAATTTACTATAACTAGTACTGCGTAAAAAAATATTTTACAAGAATACAATGAAAAATCATAAAATACAAATTGGTGGAAAGATTTTAGCTGTTCTGAGTCAAAAAATAAATAATTTTATAATTTAAGATACTTTTACAGGCTTACAGCACAACAATATTGCATAACATTTAATTGGCGCACTTCCAATACCTAATAAATTAATAATGAAAATCAAATTCGTACACAAACACACGGAATATTGCAGTTTGATCGATTTCCAAACACCAAAAATATATCGAAATTATGAACTATTGTAACAAAATAAAGTAATAGTGTGATTTGCAATAAATACATTTTAAAACTCCATTAGTGAGTGTAAGTATTTTAATGGCACGTTTTGAAAATTAAAACGAAAATAACATAACATAATTAAAATTATTAATTTACCAATAACTATAATCTGTGTATCAGGATTATATGATTATATAGATCAATATTATTTGTTATGTGTGTGTAAAATTCAGCTGATCGATGACAAAATATATGTGATGTTATAGATTATTATATTATTAATAATAAAATTTATAAAATTTCCGGGACTACTAGTTGGTAACTAAATATATGATTTACATTAAATAAGATATACATTAACAACTAGATACTTTAGTTTAACAATTAATTACTTGACGTTGTATTAGCGTTGCTGTTAATCCATTGTAATTGAAGAACAAAAGTCATAAGTAATATAAAACTATTCATTTTAATTTTTTTTTTTTTTTTATAATTATTAAAATACCAAGACTTAAGTATATTACAAAACGCACTTTTTGTTATTGAACTAATTAAACACTTTCAACTAACGCGATATATTTTACAAAATACCTCGTAGATGTATTTGAAATAGTCATAAAATAAAAATGTTTATACAACTGTACAAATAAATAAATAAACAAAACAAACAGCAATAATACGTACAAATAATATAGGTATATTTTGTTTACGTAGTTTGGGTTTAGTTGTAATATATTATATCAAAACAAAGGCTGTTTTCAACAGTATAATAAGTCAATAACACACCTATATACATGTGTATAACTATGAACTATATGAATTACTTTAATTTAGGAGTTATAAATAAAATAAAAAGAGAATTATGTTTGTTGAATGAATTTATGATCAGTATTTGGCTTAATAAGTATCGCCGCAACGTATAGTAAAATTCACTATTATATATAAAAATACTTTAGATCTGATGATGATTGTAACCGGAAAAAAAAGAGTATTTAAACGCAAATAAAATATATATATTATAATTCATAATGTAATAGCTTGGGACACCTTACTAGATGTTTTTTTTTTTACATTACTTTACGTGTTTTATAAATTTAAAAAGAAGATTTTAAAAATTCATAATTATTTATATATCAATCAAAATACTTTTTTTTAAATAAGGGTGGTAACAAATTCCAAAATTTTTGTGAACAACTGATTATTATTATTATCTGACATTCAATAATAACATATGTGTATATTATTAAAATACGAGTACACGATTTTCAGACTTTTGAATTAAGGTAGGCGGGTAAATATGATATGCATCATAAAAATACAAAATTAATTGCAATATTATCTAAAAAGTAATGTTATTAATATAATATACTGTTAGGATGACACGGATGAGAAGTCTATTGACGCACATACTGGAAGCGAATTTCCTAGTACCAAAAAAAACCTACTCATATGAGTATTCATAAAATTCAAACAAATAAATTAACGGTCAAGTTGTCGCATGCAGATTAAAACTTTATAAACATTCTTTCACCACTGATGAAAAAAACGACTTCTATTATATGGTCACAAAGGGATTGACACATGAGTTGTGGTAATGTCTCGCAAAGCGTGTGAACCAATTTTGTGAGCCACCAGATACAACCTTGGGACAATGAGGCTCTCTGTCGTTTAGAAGAAAGACTATTTCTTCGAAAAACGTGGAGTCCTTTTTGATGGCACCGTCTACGATTATGGCTGGCTTGAATACGTAGTCTTCTTACATCAGTGCATGTGCACCAGCCAAGCTATCGAGTGCACGAGCACCGAAAAAAATTACGAATACCTAACCAGACAAGCAAGCAGGAGCTCTTCCCAAAACCACCATACGAAATACAAACAAGACTCTACGGCGACAGCTAGACTTCTTTCTCCTTCTATGTTAAATCAGAGTTCTTTTTCTTATTTAAACTTAAGTTTTTCTTATGTGGTATCGTAATTTGTGTCACCTTACATCTTTTTCCGAGGAACGTACTATAAGTATTCACTGCGGCGAATCAGGTAAGGTGCATGTCTAAAATACTTATTGTTAGTACAGATTCTTTTACTATCTAATTTGCGTAACGGTGTATTTGATCATATTCTCGGATCACGATCTCGAGAGCCCTCCGAAGAACAAGAGTAAGGTAATAACACGAGAACAAGTATAATGCATAAATTTTAATACCAGATTTACATTCAAGGCTTGTGCCTCTCGTGTCAGTCCGGGCATAATATTCTTATTCGCAACTCCAAATATATTTCTGACATCGAACTTACATAATAGGCTTGTGTCCCTTGTGTTTTTCCGGCCGCATCATTCCTCTACTTTTTATTATAGGTTTATTAATCGCCTTTATTTTTTTTACTTTTATCTTATTTTTGCGTTATTACAAATATTTTGGAAATGTTTAACAAAATAAACGAAAAAACCTCAGTTATGGAGCAACAAATTTAAAAATTTGAATATTAGTTTTTTTTTTTTTTTTTATTCAAAGTAATATATTTTAAAATATTTTTTGGTTAAAAATGCCTTGTGCAATTCAATAATTTCTGAAACTGTATAGTGGCGAAAAATAAAGACAAACATCTAGAAAAATACAAGTATGTAATGATGTGCGTCTAAGTAATCGTGTATTAATTAAAATTAAATATTTAAATACAGTATAATATAATAATTTAAAATAATTATGATAACCTATAGTTATAATATTAAATAAGATAAAATTATAAAAAACGATAGATAGCACATATACACACATACAGGATATTAGTTATAAAAAAAACCGGTCACAACACAGTGTCTTTACCATCTTTTTGTGTAGACGACCACAAGCGAGAGTAAAAGACTACGTAAATGGGATTTACAAAAATACGTAAGTGTCGAAATTGTTAATAGTTAAACTTAAATATATATTAAATAATTCATGTAATGAAAAAATTGCAATATAGTTAATAAGTTTACTTAAATAAAGAAAGTTTTGTAATTATTTAATACATACTGGTTACCTAACAACGTACTCAAAACATTATAAGAGAAGTCGCTGTCAAAAGAAGAAATGTAATATACTGATTTGTGATTAATTTAAAGGTTTATTATCGAATCCTGATAGATATAAATAGGTAGTATAACAGCCTTTTAAGTTAATACTAGTAGCTGGCATTAATGTAATTTCCAGTTGCATTGTTTTGAAGAACGTTACCTATAGGTTAATTATGTTAGGTGTAAATCAAAAAAAAAAAAAAATTCAATTTACCATGAAAATAATATAGTTTCTATTATATAAGTCAATCATTCATTGAATTAATCACATAGAAAGTCGAATAGATGTTGTAAAATTCATTAAATTGCGAGAGCTTTGGTCAAAAAACCTTTGTTTAAAGTAAGAGAAAAAATACATTTAAATTTTCATTATGTCACTAAATGTCCAAAGGAGCGACCGTTTTATTCGTTATATTGAGATTTGTTAACTGTAAATTTGAATTTATTTTACCTTAAATCAGAAATCTCGAGAGATAGATAATGAAATAATATTTATGCACAAATAATTATTGGGCTACGTATTAGTTATTATAATTAACAATATTTTAAAATGTAATCAAGATTTTAGGACAGAAGTAAAAATATAACAGAAGCAAAAACGAGATATTTTTTTTTATATTAGCTATTTAATTTTACTAAATTAACTATTATTAATTTAATAATATTATTGTTTTAATTTTTAGATTATAAATTGTGAATACTATATTATTATTATTATAATAAAAATATATAAAGTGTTCATTTTCAAAATATATTATTAAATCTATAATTGTTTTTTTTCCAGTTATTTCATATTTTTCTTAAGTATGTAATTTTTAGACAATAATTGTATTACAATCAAACAGCGTAAATGAAAATAAATTGTGTTATTTATTTAATGTATCTGGTTGATACATTTCTAAAGAAAATCTTTGTATTATGCTAATTTTCTATAACACTTCATTTATAAGTTAACACTTAATAATTGCAAATGCTTAATTTCTTATACAGATAAACTTTCGGTTTTTAAACTATTGACAGTCAAAAAAATATAATATCGTCTTCTTTTAGTATACAACGAAGAATAGTTCGCTTTTTTCCGATAAGGATAGTGTCTTGACCAATCGGAAAACTAAATTTTTTTTCAGCTATATGTCTCCTTGTCGTTATCGTTATCGGTCGTTATTATTGTTATTATACCGTTTTTTCCGCTATTTGCCTGATTTCCCGCCTTTAGAGACCTTTTTTCGTCGCGTTCTCGATCCCGTCGCGTAGAGCGCGTCTCTTTCGTCCCGTCCGTGTGCGTTTTTCCCGCGGATTCGGTCCTCGGCCGCAGCCGTATCCGCTACAGAGACGGCCGTCCGTTTTTCTCCTGTTTTTCTCTCCGCGCGATTCGGTTTCACCTGATTCATGTCCGCGCGTGCCGTATGTCCCCGAATTTCGTTCGTAGCCGTCGCCGTCGCATCCGGAAAACGCGTACTCGCGGTGTGTTCTCCGGTCGGTTATCGTATTGCCACGAATACTCCTGTTTATTTTTTTACGATTCAATAAATTATTTATCCGCATTGAATACGTGTTGTTTTGTTTTCGGTGTCTGAACACTCGGACACCTCCACGACATCATCAGTACTGTCTAGATAGCGTATGAAATACGATTATTCTGTGTATAAAAAAGAAACGTGCGTACGATTGTTGACATGCATCGGGTTTAACAGATTCTTATGTGTATTACAAAAACAGATCGCAAAAGTTTTGCTCTTGAGTGGTTTTAATTCTTTTAATTGCATACATTTAGGGTGATATTGTGATGTGTGTATTTGATATTAAACTTAGTACATCATTAAGACATATACAATTCATTAGCTAATGACCCTAGTTGCCGGGTTTAAGTTTAATTAAAAAAAAAAACCCTGGGACTGTTCTAGGACGCCAGCTCTGACAAGTTAAGACTTAAAGTTCCACCGGTACCAAGTCTTTTACAAGATAGGAGGATTACCAAATGGAATATATTATCGGATATAGCGTCGATATTCGTTCCGTTGGGTTTGGTGTGACTTATAGTCATCCGAGCAAAAATATTATTACAAGCCTTGTGGCACTAAAAAACTAACTGGGACGAAGCCATACCAGCTCTTATGCAAAAAGAGTGGCATGAATATCGCGAATCGATGTGATCGTTAAACAATCTTGGCACACCACGTAAAATAGCAGGTGATTTAATTAACGATGAGATAGAGATTCACAGTTTTTCGGATGCTAGTGAAATAGCTTACGGTTGCTGTTTATACTTGAGATGCATAAATAGTGCCGGCACATGTTTTATTAGTTTAATATGCGCTAAATCTAAAGTAACCTTTATAAAATTAATATCAATTATACGCTTAAAATTATACGCGGCTTTATTGTTAGTATGAGTAGCAACAACAATATTACTTAAGTTACAAATAAATATACAACGAAGATACTTTTGGACGGATTCAACTATCGTATTGCCTTCGATTGCGTCACCGTCTGCGAAGTGGAAAGCTTTTATAGCTAACAGAGTGAGTGAAATATAAGACAAAACTTTATAATCTGAGTGGCGCTATGTTAAAACGAACGAGAATTCCGCTGACGTCATCTCAAGAGGCTATTGCCCGTCAAAACTGGTTGAAAACGAATTATGGTGGTCTGGTCCTTTCTGGTTGCGTCAAAATGAGCGTGAATGGCCAGAGCCCTCGTGGAAAATGTCATCAACCGAGTTCGTTGCAGATGATAGTACGATAGAGATGAAGAAAGGCATGACGTTCGCCATGGTTGCTGCGGTATCCTATAAAACTATTCTACATCGTTTCTCATCTTTTTCGAAATGCATAAGAGCGGGTCCATTGTGTTTACGTTTCAAAGATAATACGTTATTTAAAAATGCAAAATGTAGCGGTCCGCTTGATATACAACACCGGCACCCGATTGTACTGTCAGCCAATAGCATATTTACGAAGTTGTTATGCCGTGATCAACATGAACGCTTGATGCACAGTGGACCGCAAGCGGTATTAACCGCAATACGTTTAAAATATTGGCCAATAAGTGGATGCAACTTAATACGCAATATGATACATAAATGTGTCATATGTTACCGTAGTAAGCCTATCACTGTACAGCCGATAATGGGAATCCTGCCTAGTGACCGCGTAGAGCCCCTTTCTTAATGCGAAGTAGATTTCGCTTGACCGTTTTTTATAAAAACTAGTCTATTACGTCGATCGACACTGGTTAAGTCCTATGCTTGCGTATTCGTTTGTTTCACCACCAAGGCGGTTTATATAGAATTAGTTAGTGATCTTACAACACAATCGTTCATAAATGCAATAAATAGATTTTTCTACAGACGTGGAAAAAGCGCCGCGATATATTCGGACAACGCGACTAACTTCTTCGACGCAAATAATAAGCTTAAAAAACTACGGTTATTATTTCAATCAGAACAGCATTTGAATAGTACGAAAAAAGCATTAGCCGGCGTTGGCGTATTATGGCATTTCATTCCCCCTAGATCCCCACACTTTGGCGGTCTCTAGGAGGCGGCGGTAAAGTCCATGAAATCGTTGTTAGGAAAGTTATTAGGCAACGTAAATTTGACATTCGAAGAATTGACCACCCTCCTAACACGCGCTGAAGCATGGCTAAACGCACGCCCCTTAACGCAACTATCCTCTGATCCTTCTGATCCAATTTGAATTACTCCCGCACACTTCCTAGTAGGAGACTCTCTTGCTAATATCCATGAACCAAATTTATTAGATTTACTTATAAATCGTCTAACAAGATGGCGTCGAGTCATTCAGTGCTCCCAGTTGCTATGGCGGCGTTAGAGCGCTTAGGTTAGGTCATTTTTTATTATATTTTTATTTTTATTATTACTCAGTTCAGTCAGTTCTATTGTGACAATCTGCGACTAAATAATTATTCGCCTTGTCGGCCGATCACATTTAAAATAATTATATAAAAGAGATATAATATACGTTTTTAAAGTCCACACTTTCAAAAAGGTTTTTTTCTTTTTTAATTAATTATAATTAAGCTACTCAACAGAGACTTATTTATTTATAATCATAATCCTAAATACATACATTAATGTAAGGAACATTCATTACGTCAATAATTAGATTCATTAAAAAAATTACGAATTATAAAAGATAGATATTAATATTTATGTCTTAGTAACATTAACATTATTTAATTTTTCGCAGTCTGTGATAGGAGCTTGATTTAAAAAACCACGTAAAATCATTGAAAAAGTAATAAACTGATTTTGATTATCACAGCCGCAATTTCCAGTTGGGTCACTTGTGTCGATATATTTTACTACTATTCCTTTTGCTTTTATGTCACTTGCAAATTTACCCTATAAATTAAAAATAATACATAAATTCATGCACAAAGAATACTTGATATATTTTAAAAATTTTTACTTTTTGAAAAAATGCATCAGCATTATCAGCACACCAGTAAAGATTATAGTTGTCAGGTTCACAATACTAAAAAAATTCAAACGTATTTAAAAAAAAAATTAAAAAATAGTTATAAACTTCAATATTTTTAAAACGATAGTGCTTTTATATCTAACACATGATTAACAAAATAAATAAAATATTTATATCTAATTTATTGGTGTAATTCATAGTAGACAATCAAAACCAACTCTTATAGTGTTGTTTATTTTAGTTAAATTGGTATGGATAACTTCTTAATAGTGAATAGTAATGAAAAATATATGTTAATGTTTTTTTTAACTTTTTAGTGGATTAATCAAATTAACGAATTGTCTTATTTATATACCTTTTTATATGAGACGGCACATGTGGGTAGAGTTTCAGTGGTTGTGTCATTTATGGTCGGGCTTATTAAGAATTCAAGATAAATTTTGTCTTTTGCAATATTTGAGTTTTTT